TCCAGATATGGAATATTCTGCTTCTGACCATAGAGTAAGCGTTTTAGCTTTTCACATTTCAGTAATGCTAAAAATCCACTAGGGATACTCTCATGGATGACAATCACAGATTATATATATATATATATATATATATATATATATATATATATATATATATATATATATATATATATATATATATATATGCATAAACTATAATCATCTGTGAAAACAGATGATTATCATCTGTGTATATATAAAATTACATGTAATTGTCATATGTGTGGGCAACTGTAATCGATTCCTAGCATGATTCTTTACATTTTTTGTCGTGCCGTAAAAGAGTTTTGATTGGGTACAAGGTTTAATTGGAAAATTTGATACGGGATATATCAAAACTACTCTGTAAATTTTAAAATATGCGACATTGGTCACCAATACCATAGGTTGACTCGAATTTCTACTGATTTCCATTTGAAGATTTGATGGTTCCTACACTCATAACCTCCATGTTCCCCCCGCCACTCCTTTTGCTGATTCGATATAGTTAGGGTAAGGGTGGGTGCAGAGGGCAGAGGAGTTAAAAGGTAGGAATTATTAATTTTCGAAAAGAACATCGTAGAAGCGTGAGTCATCCAATGACATTGGTGACCAACATCACATAAAGTGTGGTGTAAAATAAATCTAATTTATCACTCAAATAAAAAAGACTCTTTATATGGACGACAGAAATCTTTTTTTTTTTCTTTTCATTATTTGATTCATTAATTAATTCAATGTTATTTTTTTATTCACTTAAAATGCAGGTACAATCAATTCCAGTTTTTCTTCTAATATTTATGCTGTACTCCATTCATGTCTGGTAGCATAGAAACGATACAGAACACATTATAGAGCAGGTGTATTGATACTCTCATTCATGTCTTGTTCTCCTTGATTGATTGTTTGCTACAAATTGATCAAAGGTGAGTAAGAAGCTCAATTCAATCATTCTTTCTTAAAAATTAAAGACTTGTTCAAAATCATTCTTTTGAAACAAACCCCTTCACTTAGGCCATGTGTTATGGCGGGCTTGACGGGGAGTTTGGCGAGGTGTAAGGATGTATGATATGGAGTGATGAAAAATGTGTGTTATGATAGATGTGATTGTAAGTGATGAGGTGTGAATTTGTGTTAAATTTTGATTGGTTCAAATAATAAACAAAAAAAAGAAAAAATATTTGGGGGAGGGAGAAGGCCATCACGTAGTGATGGTGGTCGAGCCACTTGGGGCAACGCCACACCACGCTTCATGTGTCATGGAAGAGGGGCGTGATGGAGGGTGGTCAAGCCCCTCCTCACGCCCCATAGCGCATAGCCTTAGTGCAAACACACTATTGATGTATGATTATATGAAGGAATGTTAAAATACTTGTAGAACAAAAAATAAAAATAACAAAAAGATGAGAAAGAAGTGATGAAATTAAGAATCCGTTTAGTACATGGGATTTACAAATTATAATTATATTGGAAGTTGAAATTCTATGGAATTGATTTGAATGAAATTTGATTTCCAATTCCAATTCATTTTTGGAACTACTAATTCAAAATCCACATATTTTTGTGCTACCAAAGAACGAAATTAGAATTATTGTCTCCAATTCTAATTTCATAATTTGAATTCTATGTACCAAACAAACTCTAAGGATCTGTTTAATATACGGAATTGATGGAATTGGAATTGAAATTTTATGGTATTCAATTCCATAGTATTGAATCCACTAATTCCAGTTCATTTTTTACACTATCAATTCCAAATTCACACAATTTTTGTGCTGCCAAACACCAGAATTGGAATTGAAGTTTCTAATTCCAATTTCATAGTTTGGATTTTGTGTACCAAACGGGGCCTAAGTGAAATTAGGAGAGAAATTGTGAAATTAGGATGTTACTTTCATAAGGGAGAAAGACCAAAGTAGGACTAAAATATTGAAAATATACCAAAATAAGACTTCCATATTTTTATTTACGAAATAAGACTTAAAATGATTTACATTACCAAACATGGTTATGTACATTACCAAAAAATATAGTAATGTGCACATATACATTGTCACATTACCACAATTTAAAGTCCTAATTTTGAAAAAAAAACATGAAAGTTCTATTTTAGTACTCTTCTTTACGTTTTAATTCTAGCCTATTTAGAGTGATTTTTTAATTCAGATCGCATAAGTGGACCATGTTTGAAAAGGTGCCCAAATTCTTCTTTCTTTCTTTTTTGTTTTTGTTTTTGTTTTTGTTTTTTAACTCAATCAAGAAATGGGGATAGCATGCGCGATCCCTCTAACAAGTTGTCCAAAATTATTATTTTTTCACCATTGTGGGTAGAGATGGTATTGGGGGTTGGG